TCCCCCATGCCCCTGCCCTCACTTCCCTTTGGACTGAAGTGTCTCTTCTCGTTAATCTGACTTACCATTCTAGGTCCTCATTTGCCTCTGACAGTGAGAAGGGACAAGGACAGACTCTTTGGGATCTGGCAATTCAGGAATTGCCATAGACTTTTCTTCTTTAAACACAAAAACACATTTCAGCCTATGTATAAGTTATTAGCTGTGTGACCCTGGGAAATTCACTTAATTCTATTTGCTTCAGTTTCCCCATCTGTAAAATGAACTGGAGAAGGAAATGGCAAATCACTTCATTATCTTCACCAAGAAAACCCCAAATGGGGTCATGAAGACTCAGACATGATTGAAACAACTGAACAACAACAAAAATAAGTTATTAGAATCATGTAGCGTAAAGCGTGAAGGGACCTTAAAGACAATCCAGTCTGACACGTTTTACTCATGAGGAAACTGAGGCCTAGAGAATGAGTGAATTTTAGAACTGGAAGGGCCTTCCAGATTATCTAGCACAGAGATTCTTAACTTGGGGCCTGTGAATTTGTTGGGGTTTTTTAAAATTTTTTTTTAATATTTTGATAACTATTTCAGTCTAATTGTTCTCCTTTGTAATACTATATGTTTTATTTTATGAATTTAAAAGCATGATTCTGAGAAGGGCCACATAGACTTCACCAGACTGCCAGAGGGGTCCATGACAGAAATAAAAAGGTTAAGAACCCCTGCTCTGGTCCAACCACTGCATTTCATAGAAACAGAAAGTGAAACCTGGAGTAGAGAAGAGATTTGCCCAAGGTCACAGAGCAAGCTAGTGAGGGGGGAGAGGTGAGCCTAGAACCCTCATCTCTGGACTCCTAAACCCTTAGTGCCTTGCCCAAAGCGAGGTGGATGCCCATATCCCTTCCCTTCTTACCTCCTCCCAACATGTATTTACTCTAGCCTCTGGGCCCACTGGCTTCTTCCGGAGAGCCCTCTTTTCTTGTGGGGAGTGGAGTGTGGGGGCTCATAACTTTTCTGAGGTTTCATCATCACAGTACCCAAAATGATCTTGATCCACAGAGATCAGCACTAGGACCAGAGGCCTAAAATCTTTCTGGCCAGCTCTAAAAGGCAAGGGTTATTTAACATTAACCTGGTCCCCACCATACCCAAAGTAGAATTTGTTTCTGGGGACCCACGCTCCAAACTCCAACATAGAATTGGTTCCCAGAGCCTGTGCTGGGATGAAGGCTCTTCATTCCCTATACTTATTGAGGCAGCTATGTGGCATAGTGGAATAGAGCTGCGGACTAGGATTCAGGAAGACCTGAGTTCAAATATTCCCTCAGAATAGTTACTTGCTGTGTCTACCTCAGTATCTTCAATTGTAAAATAGGAATGATGATAATAATAGCACCTACCTCATAAAATCTAGAGTAGGAGGGGATCTCAGAGGCCATTTAGTCCTACCCTCTCATTTTAGATAAGGAAAACAAGGACCAAAGAGATTGGAGGACTTGCCCAAATTCACACAAAGAGTAAGACTCAGAGGTGGGATTTGAACCCAAGACCTCTTACTCCAGATGCATGACTCTCGCCTCGAAGACCACACACTCCAGAACTGCACCTTGCCCCATCACAAACACACTGGGCTAAAGTGGGGCTCCATCTTAGCACCATCACAACCAGCTGATCACCAACCTCACAAGAAAACATCCTGAAGTTTTCCTATGTTGTGGGGGGAGGGGCAGCCTGGATGCATTAATTAACAATCGCAAGCAGCTGTGCAAATGTCACTTCCCCATGCAGCTGTCTTCCCCCTAGAATCTCAACATTGAGACACGACCACATATGGTTAGTGGCAGAGCCAAATATAGAACCCAGGCCTCCTGACTTCCAGCCCAGAGTCAGTTGGAGCCTGGCCTTGAATTCCTCCCCTCCCCCTTACCTTATGCCCCGTCCCACCACACTAGATTCTCCCCTTGCCCCTAACTTTCCACCTGTGGCATCTGCAGACCTCTGTTGATACCATTCCCTACACCTGGAATGCCCTTCTCTCCATCTCAGCCTCCTGAAACCCTACCTGTCCTTCAAAACCCTCTCCAGGGCCCCCTCCTCCAGATGCTCCGTTTTGCACTACAGGATTTGTGTACATGAGAGGGTCTTGACCATTTTTGTGCATGGACCCCTTTGTCAATCTAGTGGAGCCTGTGGACCTCTTCTCAGAACTGTGTTTTTAGACGCATAAAATTTTAAAATATGCTGGATTACAAAGGAAGCCAATTATATTGAAATAGGGGTTATAAATACTGAAAAATCAAGTTTGTGGATCTTAGACTAAGAAACCCAGGAATAGTCTTCCATGAGGGCAGGATTTACCTTTTGTACCTTTCCCACTGCCTATCACCGTTCTTCATGTGCACACAGTAAGTGCTTAATAAATGTTTAGGGAATTCAGTTTGGTCTTGAGTTTCCAACATGCCACCTTAGTTTCTCTTGTTTATTGGTTTCTGAAGATTTGCTGCCAGCTGGGTGGGGACAGCCTGTTCCCAACCCTGGAAATTTTATGATGAGCACATCTGAAAATTATAGCAAGTAAGGAGTGAGATGGCTCTGGGAGCTGGGAAGAAGGAGCAAGAAGAGGATGATTGGGGCAGAGGCCAGGGGTGGAATTGGGGTTCATGCTTCAATGCCCTCTGGCCCAGACATGCCCTTGGGAAACTGATTGATGGGAAGTCAAGGTGACGCCTCACTGCCCTCACTCCTTATCCCCCTTCCTCAAAACTCTCCCAGGGAAATTCAGATTGGGAAATTCAGCTTTAAAAATTCCCTGTTCTCCATCTCCATTCTCCTTAGCTCCCCCTAAATGTCCAGGTTTCTGTCTAGTTCCCCAAGTAAGTGAGTTGGCCTGCACATCCTCACCATGCTGGTGGTAGTTGGGGGCTGGGGAAGGTAGTGGTGGGCCATGGAAGCACTGATGGAAAAACAGAAGGAAGACAATTCTTGCAAGAAGCAAGGTAATTCAGGAACTCCAGGCCCAACTCACTGACTCTTATGGTGACCTAAGATAGCAACATGGTAGAGGGGAAACAGCATGGGACTGTTAAAATTCTGCCTGTTTCTAACTCACCATGTGACCTTGGGCAAATCACTTTATTTTCCTGTGTTTCTATTTTATGTGATCAGAGATCTATAATTTGAAAGGCCATGTAGTCCCACCCCCACCCTCACACCCTATTGGACAACCGAAGCAACCGAGTCCTTGCCATGGTAAGTGACTTATTTGCTCAACTGTCAGGCAGGCATTAATCACCAAAGGTGGGATTTTAACCCAGGTTTATTTACTTATCTGTAAAATTAGCATAGTTGGATTAGATGAGAGTTAGGGTCCACTTCTGTGTCTGTGATTCTACAGTTCCAAATTGCTTCTTGACCTCTCTGTAGCATTTGACACTGATGGTCACTTTCTCCTAACTAGATTATCTTTCCACTCTGGGTTTTTGCTCTACAGCTTTCCCCTGGTTCTCCTCTTTCTCAGTCTTCTTTACTGGATCTTTATCCTTGACATCTCCCTGAACTGTAAGTGACCCCTAAGGCTTTGTCATGGGCCCTGTTCTCTTTTCTTTCCGCACTATCTCACTTGGTGATCACAGTCATTTCCATGGGTTCAATTACCATCTCTATGTAGATGATTTCCAGATCTCTACATCCAGCCCTAGTGTCTTGTCTGAGCTCCAATCCTGAATCTCCAATTGCTTGGGCGACATTTTGAACTGGATATTCTGTAGGTATCTCAAACTCAGCACTAAAAACTCCAAAATAGAACTCATTATCTTTCCCCTTAACATACCCCTCCTCTGAACTTCCCTATTACTACTGAGAAAGCCACCATCCTCCTAGTCTCCCAGATTTGCAACTTCATTGTCCTTGACTCCCCAGCTCAAATACTTCCTTTTGAAGGAGGCTTTCTTCATCCCATAGCCCAGGTTAGCTTCCTTCTACTCTATATGTACCTTGCATGTGCCTATTTATTTATGTTGTCTTTCCCCCTAAAATAAAGTATTAATTAAGATAAGGTCACTGAGGGCAGAGAATATTTCTTTGGTTTTGCCTTTCTTTATATCCCCAGTGCTTAGCACAGTGTCTGGCATATAGAAAACAATAAACATTTGTTGAGTGTATGATTTTCTCACTTGGACTCCTCCAGGTGCCATAGATTGATAGGATCATAGATCACAGAGCTGGAAGAGAACCTAGAGACCATCTAGTCCAACTCCATTTTACAGATGAGGAAACTGAGGCCCAGAGGATTGATTGAGCCAAGCAAGGTCATATAGGTAGGAACAAGAGCAGGATCTGAACCTGAGACCTCTGACTCTAGAGCCAGTGCTTTATCCACTGTGCTGCCTCATATCTCCAAAATCATATTACAGAATGTTTAGTAAACATATATTGTCAACAGCATTTATGATAATGATACCAAAAGCATCCTAGGATCATTCATGACTGTAAATGGATGTCACATAGGACAAGGCTGAATACTAATCCCTCTCCAAACCAAATCTCTCTTCTATTTTATTGGCGGATATTCCCCAGGACCAGCCCCAATCCTGGGGATGTTTGGGACCTAGGGAGGAGAGATCAAAAACCCTCTTCCCTACAGAGTAAGGCGTCACTTTCTCCATTCCTAAGATGAGCTCAGCCTTTGAAAAACTCAGCCCAGTGTTTGCTTCTCATATGCCAAGGAAAATAGACAATGTCAGAAACCTCCTTGGGTATCTGGAGGGAGACAGCCTGCCTGTTCTCTCCCACCCAAATATGAAGTCATCTGGCCATAATGACACACTAAACAATGCCTTGGTATGGGCGCTGGCTCTGGGCTGATGTCAGAGTGTTTCCCTCCTCCTCCCCTCCTCCCCACCCCCATTCTCACCACCCACCATGGTTTTACTCTGAGATTTAATTCAATTCAATCTAATTCGATAAATGTTTATTAAGTACTTACTAATATTAGGCACTCTGTGAGTTCCTTGACAGCAGAGATTGGGTGGTTTGTTTGGGTTTTTTTTTGGGGGGGGGTGTTTTTCTTGCCTTTTTGTGTATCTCCGATAGAGAGTAAGCATGGTGCTTGACATACCATAGGCACTTAAGAAATGCTTCTTGACTTGAACAAAGTCAAAACCAAAACAGGCCTTGGCCTCAGGGAACTTAACTTGCTACTGGTGAGAACTAATGTGTACACAGATAAGTAAATGCTAAATACATAAAAAATAAACGTAAAGTAATTTCAGGGAGGGAGATAGCATTAAGAAATCAGGAAATCAAGAGAAGATCTCTTGTAGGAAGTGGCGTTGGAGCTGAACCTTGAGGAGAGCTGATGCTTCCAAGAGGCAGCGGCAAGGAGGGAGAACATTCCAGTCACAAGGGAAACAGCCAGTGTGAAGGCATGTAGACGTGAGAAGGGACTGGACAAACTACCAACTTAAGTCTCTTTGGAAAGGTGTAAACAAAGATCTCAAGCCTCTAGCACAAGCAAGACTTGTCTGGATTCCATTTAGGGATGTGCTGGTAAATGTTTTACAACCAGCTCTCTGAAAAGAGGCAGGAGATGGAATGATATGAATGGAGAAAAACAAGTAGGATGGTTCAGCCGGCCTGCAGATTATATGGAGGGGAATAATGGGTAATTAGCCTGGAAATGTAGCCTTTAAATGCCAAAAAGAGGAATCTAGATTTTTGTCCTGGAAGCAATGGGGAACCACTGAAGCTTTTTGAGAAGGGCAGTGCCATGGTCAGACTGGATATTTAGGAATATCTACTTGGCAGCTGTTTACAGAATAGCCTGGAGATGGGAGAAGTTGCATGAAGATAAAACAATTAAGAGACTTTTACAATAAACTAGGCAAGAAGCGACAAACACCTGAACTAGGATATTGCTTTTATAGTTGGGGAGAAGAAGACAAATGAAAGAGATGTTGTAAAAATATAGCCTCTGGGAGCAGTGTCCTAAGTATGCAACGTTCTTGGGAGATGGAGGAACTTTCTGTCTGGAGCTTTACAAAGAGATGGAGCTGGCATGGAGGAAGCTAAGGAGCCTGCTGATCTCTGTTCCCATCTGGGAGTGGGGGCGGGGGGGGGGCTGGAGGGCAAATGGAGCTGTGCAGACAACTACAGGGGCTAGTCGCAATCACACTAAATGAGCTGATGTGTTATCACAGAGTAATTCAGGGCTATTACTGGTCCTATTACAGCCAAGCTTTTAAGTCACAGGATATTGAAACTAGAAGAGACCTTGGAAATTATCTAGTCCATCCATCTGATGTCTCCTTGAGTTTATGACAAGGATGGTAAGAAACAGCCTAGACAGTACTAGATAGCAGAAAGAAGCCAGACTAGTATTTCAAAAATTGCCATGAATAATCCCTGCACATCGGTAAATTCAGATTTTTATGACATGATTATTTTAAGGTTTTAGGCCTGGAGAAGGGAAATGACTTGCCCAAGATCACATAGATATTAAGTGGCAGAGTCAACATCTGAACCACGTTTTCTCACTTCACATTTGGAGTTCTTGGCTCACTGTACCACGCTACCTCTAGCCCTAGCCCAAGTCCACCCCCTGCCTCCTGCTGCTTCTGACATTTTGTAGAGACTAAGGCATACATTTAGAAGCTTTAACGAGCTCTGGAAATGTGTGTATAGGGTATGTGTTAGGTTTTTCCTTTCCCCAACAGCACCTGTTCCACATTGAAACTAGACACAGAAAGCCAGGCAGGCTAAGGGGCGCATGGATCCTAGTCCCTCCAGTGGCCCCGCAGGTTCTCAACTGCCAACTTAAGTCCCTTTGGAGAGCCTGGATCCCATACATGGGCATGACTCGCCTGGGCCCTATTCAGGGGTGTGATGGTTTTACAACCAGCTCTCTGAAGAGAAATGTAAATTGGACACACTTTTAAGTTTAAACTGCATCATGAAAATTTTCTGCATAGCTTTTTGAAGTCCACACAATCGACAAAACAATACACCCAGCCCTGAGGTGTACTTTGCTGATTTTCTGAAGTATGAACGCTCTTACTGAAAATGAACAGTCAGTTGAGTTTGAGCTGGCTCCATATCACCTCTGGCTCCATGACTCTTCTCATTCCTTCTAGTGTCTTAGAAAGACCAGGTTCACTTTCATCTTGTATAGCCTAGGGGATAAAATATGTTCCAACAATTTATAATTTATCAGAATTGCTCATGCCCTCATTCCCTTCAAAATTCTAATCTCCTTCCCAATTTTGAACACCCAAAAGGACTGAACACTCATAATATAAAACAGTCAGCAAGCATTTATTAAGTGCCAGGCTCTGTCCTAGGTTCTAGGGATGCAAAAATAAAAGCAAAACAGTCCCAACTCTCAAGGAGTTTGTATTCCAATAGGAGAAACCACATGTACATATGTAGATACATAGTGGATACAAGATTTACAGATACAAGGTATCCTTGGTAGGGAAGACAATAGCCCCTGAGGGGGTTAAAAAGGTCTCATGCAGAAGGTGGCATTTGGGTTGTCTGGAAGGAAAGCAAGGATTTCGGAATGTAGTAGTGAGAAAAGACTGCATTCCAGGCACGGGGGACTTGCCAGTGCAAAGGCATGGAGACTGGAGAGTGAGTGTCATATGTGAGGAACAGTAAGAAAGTCAATTTGGCTGGACTGTGGATCGTGTGGCAGGAAAAATGGATTACAGGTTGTAAAGAGCTTTAAATACAAGAGAATTTGTACTTGATCCTAGAGATAATAGGGAGCCAGTAGAATTTATTGAAGAAGGGATGACATGGTCAGAATTGTACTTTAGAAAGGTCATTTTGGCAGCAGTCTGAAGGACGGACCAGAGTGCAGAAAGACTTGAGGCAGGGAGACCAATTAGGAGGCTATTGCAATAGTCCAGACTGAATGAGCCTGGGAGGCTAAGTCAGCCACTCCTATGATGACCGGAAATTCCAACATCCCCCCTCCCAGTCATAAGCAGGGTATTATCCAGACACTTCAAAACCATATTGGCACAGCCAGAGAAATAACTATGGAGTCTGGATGCAGATAGAAACATACCTTTTTTTTTTTGTTTTTTATTTCTCGTGTTTTTTCCCTTTTGCTGTGATTCTTCTTTCACAACACGAGTAATGTAGAAATATGTTTAATAAGATTGTACATATGTAGCCTATATCAGATTTCATGCCATCTTAGGGAGTGGGGAGGAGAGGGAAGGGGGGAAATTTTTAGGACTCAAAATCTTATTAAAGTGAATGTTGAAAAACTAAAAACAAATTAATTAATTAAAAACCATAGTGGAAGATCGCCCCTCAAGCACTCAAAGGCCAAAAGGGAGGGGGCAACCCTCAGCTCACCACAATCCTAGTCACTTCTGCCTCCTATATGGCAGGTAATGATCATCCACCCTGACTCCTGTAGGGATGGCATTTGCTTCCTGGATTATCTCCAAGCATGGGGACCCGTGGAGGACACCAATCTTGGGGTCCAGTGAATCAACCGTCAAATCACTGGAGGTTCCAAGGTCAGTGGTAGCCTTCCAGAGGCCACTGAGTGCCCCTTGCCTTTACATTACAAATTCATTGTTCACTCTACTTTTCAATCAGTTCTGATGTTATTTTGCTGAAGAAACCTACAACTCTTCTTGTTTCTCTAAGTGGGCTTCTAACAAAGCCTGGGGCATCTTTCATACTGCTGTGATTGCAGACAGAGATGTGACTTCTAAGTGGTAGATCAGCAGATCTATATAAGGGGTGTGTGACGCTAGGGTTTTTTGGGGAGAGGGACACTTGTGATGTGAGATGCTCTTTGGGAGAGCCACCTGAAAAGACTTTAGAAGCTTCAGAGATGCAGGGGAAACTGGCCATTCAACATGTCCCAACTTCTAGCTTGCCTTGCTAAACTTCAGAAAGATAATTTCCTTGCCTTCTCAATAGGTGGAAGGCAAGAGAGAATTCAGAATTGAAAATGAAACAAAATCGAATAATAATAATAATAATAGGTCAATGAGATTAGGTCTTCTCTCTAGATTTGAGCTGAGATTTCATTTTGCTCCCTTCTAAATAGTTCACTCATGTATTTTCTGGCATAGTCTAATCTGTATAACTTCTCCAATGTCTACCTGCTGTTTCCTTGGATAAAAATGGGTTTACTTGCTATTTGCTATTCTGTCGGCCTTTTGGTTTAGCGCACACATAATAAGTGCTTGACATACATACTAAATAATAACTGTTTTTCCTTCCCCCCACCCTACTCCTATTCATCTGGGAGCAGTTGCATGGTTGGCAGACTTGGGCTGTGGCTAGAGGCAGCAGCATGGTGGCTTGATACAGCAGCAAGAATACTGGATTTAGAGGAAAAGGACCTAAGTGCAAACCTGAACTCTCCAACTTATTGTCTGTGTGATCCCAGGCTTTCTAGTTCTTTTCATTTTTATGGCTGCCATGTAGCATGTGGGCTGCCCATCTGTGGTCTCTCACTCTTGTTACATGCCCTGCTCTCTTCCTTTTTCAGTCAAACTGTACATGTTTTTCACTGGGTCTTTAATGCAGCTTCTTTAAGAGATGAAGTAGAAAAAAGTACTAGGCTGGGAGTCAAGACACCTAAATTCTAGTCCCTGGACTGACGCTAATTTATAGTGAGCCATTGGCAACTTGACTTGTCAGCCTCAGTTTCTCATCTTTAAAATGAGGAAGTTGGATTATCTTGATCTCTAAGGTCCCTTCTGCTTCCAAATCCTATGATCCCAAATTATTGCTAAGTGTCCTAATTCGTATATGTCTCATCTTTAGCATCTTCTGTATTTTTCCCATCCAAACAAAAGTGTCAAAGGGACTAGAAGTATGTATAGGAGGATTCATATAAATGGAGCTACCTAGGACCAACAGAGACAAATGTCAAAAAATATTGAAAGGTGCACATTTGTTCACAAAAAAAGAAAGTTAAAAACAATAATAAAAACACAACAATAAATATCACAGAGCCAATCGACTGTTTGATGGCAATATTACCAGTTAATGAAAAGGGGCATACCATAGAAGTGTGGACAGTGAGCTTGCTGCATGGTGCAGCATGGGGGTCACTTGGCCTGTTAATTAGGGGATCTACACACACACACACACACACACACACACACACACACACACACACACACACACACACACACATAACCTATGAGCCAATGCTGGCTGCTTTCAAACAGCCTGGGAGACTGAGGCTGATCAAACAGCAAGTATACCAGGGCAGGCCCAAGTGAGGACCCACAGGGAGCCATCTTGAGATGCAACATGGGCAGAAAGATTACTTATCAAGTTTGACAGGACTCTGGGATCCCAGAGGCAGCTTGTGATGATATTAGAGACATCAGAGAGACCCCTCAGTGGAATATTGGGAACAGAGGGGATTAACCTGAAAATCAGCTATGAAGTGTCTTCTTTTTTCACATTCACCAAGTCAATCAGCATTTATTACTGGGTACTGTGCTAAGTGCAAGAAATTCAGAGACGCCAAAAAGCAGATTCTGCTATCAATATTCTAATGAGGAAGACAGCTCACAAATAATTACATACATAGGAGATATATACATTATAGGTGGAAGGGACTAGCATGGGGAAAGGTACTAGCAGGAGGAAAGACCTCTTACAGAAAGTAGAATTTGAGCTGAGCCTTGAAGGAAGCCAGGGAAGCCAAGAGGTACAGATGAGAACAAAGAATTCTAGGCTTTGGGAGCGAAATGATGCGAAGGCTTGGAGTTGGAAGATGGAATGTCTTGTGGGAGGAATAGGCCAGTGTAGCTGGATCATAGAATACATGGAGGGGAGGAAAAGGTAAGAGTCAGGGGTCAGGAGTCAGAGTGGTGTTGCTACTCATTAGGGGGTAAAGCTATCCCATATCCTAATTTATGACTATAATATTGGGATGATACTTAATAGGCCTACACTACAAATGACCTCTGGGTATAACTGTTCCCTTGGTAAAAATGAATCTGAGAGGTCATGGAAAGATAAGTACTTTAATGCACTGTTGGTGGGAACTATGAATTGCTTCAAAAATTCTGGGAAGCAATTTGGAATTAAGCTAAGATAATGATCAAAAGGTCTAAAACTTTTGACCCAAAGATCTGACTGTTCAGCCATATATCCCAAAGAGGCCAGTGATAGGAAGGAAGGTTCCACGTACATAAAAATATTCGTGTAACAGCACATTTTGTAGTAATAAAGAATTAGAAACAAACTAGATGTCCAATGATTAGGGAATGGCTAAATAAATTTTGGTACAGGAATGCAATGGAATATTATAGCACGGAAAAAATTATAAATATGTAGAATTCAGAGAAGAATGGAAAGAGTTATGTGGTCTGATGCAGAATGAAATAGGCAGAACCATGAAAACAACACATATAAGGACAACAGCAATATAAATGGAAAGTACACCACCAAAAAAAACCCCTTAAAATAAACACCTAATTTTAATGACCAAACTTAGCCTCAAAAAAGGGATGAAAAAACATACTTTTCTTTGCAAAGGTGGTGAATTGTGAGTGTGTAATATTGTCAGTCAGTTGATAAGCTGGTTAGTTTTGCTGAACTACTTTGCTGAACTCCTCCTTCTAAATTCATTGTTGCAAGTTGTTCGTGAACTTGTTACAAGAAACAGTTTGCTAGATAGGGCAAGAGGAAGAATCCATTCAGTAATGAAGGTGATATAAAAACAAAAGTTATCAATTAGTTATTAACTTCTAACAAAAGTTTAAAAACTTTTTTAAAGCTTTAAAAAACAAAAGTGAAGCTGAGATTTTAGAACTTTAAACCACAACAATGCAGTCATCTGGGAATTTAAATGTATCTTTTAAAAGTTTCATTTTAGTCAGAAATAATAGTATTTATATAGTGCCTACTAGATACCAGGCACTGTACTAAGCGCCTTACAAATATTATGTAATTTGATCAGTCAGTAAATGTGATCTAATCTGTAATGTGAGTGGTAATTCCCTGGGGTCACATGAAGTTGAGATTAAAATCTTAACAGGAATGGGGGTACATGACAATTTTGATAAACTTATGAATTATTACACAATAATGATCTCTCCATCTTAAACCCAGATTAAACAAGACAGAATCCAGGCTGGGAAGCTGGGAACACTTTCAGTGTTTCAGTTCC